TCGCACGCGTGCTACAGTGGTAAATTTATTCATCGCACAGACCAGTTTTTTCGTAGCACATGCGACATATATGTACAGCCCTGTATATATATATTAAATACAGATTTTTTAAAAATACAAATACAAAAATGAAAATACCGAGATATATACAGTATATCGCAAATTAGCCAAAAATGCCAAGATATGAATTTTTGGCCATATCACCCAGCCCTACTGTACAGCCTTCAAAACCATCCAACTTAAAGCTTTAAAATGACTTCAAACAGAAAACCTTCAAACTTCAAGCTTTTAAATCTACTACAGGCTTTCTCAAGCCAACATCAGAGTTTGTCTCGACGAACCTTTTGATTGTAATGAAGGTTTGAGGCACAAAGATTCTGTGATTCAAAGACGAGTCATATACAACTGATGATCATTTGTCATGAGAGAGAAAACTCAAGAGACACAGTAAGGTTATTTTAAAGCGTTCTTACCTTCTTACTGCATGTGGTGGTCATCCTCAGACAGCACTTCCTGTGACATGCATAGCGACAGACTGAAGAAAACCAGAAACAACAAGCACACGGTTAACGGCAGATCTGAGCACCAGCATCACGTTTCCCACTCACATCAACAGGAAAATGAGACTGAGACACGAGAGTCCATTATCGATCACGTCCAGATGAAAACATGAATTTCACAGGAAAAAAATCTGATTATGCTGCTCTCAAGACTAGCAGACAGACACTTAGTGACTCGGATCAAAATACGGGAAAAGAGAAACTCCAGGCTATGATGACTGAACTGAGTCAAAACCAGTATTATTTTAGTATTATTAAAGATTTTGTTAATGAATTGTACTTTAAAATGAATTAAAATGAAAAATATTTTCTGTTTTCATTTCAATTTTAGTTAGATTTAGTTGTTTTGTTTTTATCATTTTTATTACTTTTTAATATATATATATATATATATATAAGTTTTAGTTTATTTAAATTTAGTTATTTTAGTACTTCAACTTTAACTAAACGAAAAATTAGAACTAGCTGAAAAAAAAAATTAGGCAAGTAGCTGAAATAAAACACATTTAAGTTTTATATATTTTATTTAGTTTATTTTATTTCAAGTAAAGAAAATGTTATATTTTTAGTTTTAGTTAATCATAATAATTCTGGCGCAAAAATAAATTTTCTTTAAGCACACTTTAATGCATTTTGTGAGAATTACAATACTGCTGTAAATAAGAGAACAAAATGAAAACACTCTTGTTCGAGTCCCATTTTTAACTATTACAATATTAAGTGTTTAAACTTTTCCAGGCTGAAATATAAAAATGACAGAGCTGAACGCACGTTTGCAGACACACGCTTTGTCCATTATCCAGATGAGAGACGAACAGAACTCGCAGTAGGTCGGGATGCTGTACTGAGTGGATTTAAAGATGTGACCCATGTGCTCTTCCACCTGCAGAGGGCAGCAGAGTGCTGAAGATGTTAACAGAGTTACCAAGAATTCATAAAGCCTATTACATAAGAATAATGATCTAAATGGAGTTTAAAACGAGGACTGACGGTGTCGGATTCCTTTTTCCTCCTCTTCTTCCTCTCAGGTTTAGGAGCCTGAAAAACAAACACAAATTCTCAGAAGAGTTTTGGAGGACGATGCTTGTTTGTTGACCAAGAGAGAGATGCTTTACCTTAGTGATGGTTCCATTCATTGGCTTGTATTCCGTCATGAACTCATCGAGGAAGACTTTGAAGGTGTTGACCCAGACTTTAACCGGCGACTCGCTCCAGTCTCTCTGCTCCAGACGCATGTTCTTCTCTAAGATGTGTTCGAACAGAGCGTAGAGATCTTTATAACGAATGCTCCTGCCATCATCCATCTGAGGGTGAGACACATTTAGGGCGAGATTTTGGAGGTGAGAAGTTGTTTTCTGGGTTGCTTTGAAGTCACTGTAAAATTCTGGATGTCAGAAACTCACGGCCAGAGCAGTAGAGTACGAGTTGAAGATGTTGAGGCGGAACTCTTTCAGAGCCTTCTTGAAAACCACATCCACAGGTGTGTCCTTCTGACTGTCTTCAGCTTCTAGATCGCTGATCTACGAAACGTCAGATGAGAGATTTTTAATATTTTGGCTAATACAACAATTCTTCAAATTTCAAATGATACCTCCATTAAACACATTTTACCGTGACAATTCTTATTAAATTGTGTAAAACCTTTCTTGTGCAAACTGAAAGGGACACTTTTATGCAAGAAATATTTTATGAATTATTTACACAGATATAAAAAATGATTGCAAAAATTCTAGTCATACAGTTAGTGACAATTCTACAAGTTGCACAAAAACAATCTAATGTCAAGTCAAGTCAAGTCACCTTTATTTATATAGCGCTTTTAACAATACAGATTGTGTCAAAGCAACTGAACAGCATTCATTAGGAAAATAGTGTGTCAATAATGCAAAATGACAATAGTAAACACTAATTTTCCAGTTAAAGACAGTTCATCATTGAATTCAGTCAGTCTTTCATTTGAGTCACTTATCAAAAGTTGCTAAAAGTTGAAAAAAAAACTAAAAATGAGTGAAAATTCACACACCGTTCCTCCTGTCGTTGAGCTCTGAATCTGCGGAGCGCTCCCTGGTGGACATCTTTTTATCTCCATGTTTGCTCTTACTCCAGAACCGCATTTTGCCTCTGACCCTAAAAATGGAAAAAAAGATTATATGTGACACTGGACCGCAAAACCAGTCATAAGGGTAAATTTTTTTAAATTAAGATTTATACATCAT